CTTTGTTCCATACTGTATATATACATATATCTGTGTCAGTGTAAACTACTCGTACCTGATGATGACAAAACCTTGTCGAAACGTTGTACATTTGCTGTTATGTTAAATTTATATTAAAGTTTTTCTTCATTACCCATTCAAGCCGTCTCCAAGCATTATAACCTAGAGTTGTTAGTGTCAGGTTTAGTTTGTGCCAAAGAGGTGTGTATAGTACATAACAGACTTAAGTGTGATAATAGTTACGAGAAATGTTAACCAATTTTTATAAAGACAAAATAAAAATAAAGGCAAACAGTCGTGGGAAATAGAGGAAATAACAATGTGATGCAATATATATAGGAAATAATACCAATATAGAGAAACTAAAGTATGAATAATACTAATAATGTAAAGTAAGTTTAACTATGAAATAGTTTTGAAAATCTTTTCAGAGACACACGAAGGTCAACAATCCCGGGATCAACATTGATGCCATTTGGCATTGCAGTACTTAATAGTGCTATTCACTAAGCATCACACTCATTAAATATAGCCCATTATTCTCCTGAAGAAGAATGGTGAACCATTCGAAAGTGCTTGAGTTTTGGGACTTGTTTGAAAACCATCACACTTTATGTATGCACAGCTTCAAGTTTGTAATGTAATAATGTGCTTTTGCTCTTTCGTGCCTACATACATGAAAGAGCAGTGACTTGCATTTTTTTTCTATATACGTATTTACTTTTCATTATTTTCTTCGTGTATACATATTTTACACATACAGTTTACCCTCATCTGCTCGTACAAATGAGTGTGCCTAAGTGAGAAGGGGCTAGTTTCTTTATTTGTGTATTTGCTTTTCACTTATAAAAGGTTTGATTGTTGCACTTCATATGCTTACAAATTGCTGATTTTTTTCTTTTATTAAATAAAAGAGAAGTTCTTCTTCCCAGCCATAACTTGAAGTTTTCTTTGTTAAATGTACTGATGTGTAAGGTATCATTTTATATTACAAGTTAGTTAACGAGTTTTGTTTTATTAAATCATTAAAGGAATTTTATTTCAATGTATATTATGTTCAACACTGATAGGCTTTAGCTTTCTGTGCCAACTGTGTATTGTTAGGTTGCCCCTCCCCCTCTAAAGGAGCCTTTAGCCTTCTGGACACCCCTGGCCTATTTTTAGACATTATGAGAAATTTGTGGAACATGTGAAAGGTAGGATCAATCGAAACAAAGCGTGATGAAATTTAACAAGTCAATGGGGAGATAATATTTTTGTTATTAAATAGTAATCTTAAGTCACATTACCTTTTTTGTGTTTATCTGGATTACTATAAAAGAGTGATATAATCAAGAACTGTTACTTTCAATGAAAGTGTTTTGTTTAATGTTACACATATATGCACATACATATTTCCAATTGTCTTTCTTTAACACATTTTAAACAAATCCATGTAAAATACACAATATACAAAGTATAACTGTGAGCTTTTTTAATGTATCTTCATGAAAACTGGCAATATTTTATTAAAGATTACAAGTATTTTGTACACAAAGAACAAAATTGTTTAAAATTAAGATATATGTGTGTAGGATGAATTCAAACTCCAATCAATTCATAAAAGTTTTAAAAAATATTTTATCTTTTTTAAGAAAACACAACATTCAGGATTTACATCTGTTCTACAGGCTTTGGGAATATCTAAACTAAATATTCCCATTTTTAATATAACAACAGTCAAGTCTTATGGTATTTGTCATGATAAAGACTGTTTAGTCTAGATATTGGTGATTTATTTATTTGTGTGAGTGAATATTTTATTATTGTTTAGTTTTTGTTATAATAAGAGTTAAAAGCAGACGATTGTAGGAAGTTTTATTAATAATTCATTGACGTCGAGAACATAGAAGGCAGGCAGACAAGTAAGTGATAATGATATAAATAGCGTGAAGCAGCAAACAGATAATAGCAAAAGAGAATAAAGTTGGTGTGAAGTTAACTATCATAGAAGTGATAGACCCAACGACTGACGTATGCCCAACGTTTAATATGTTGGAGTGAAACTAACAGTAGAAAAGAAGACAAAAAAAATAATTTTATTCTGTCAAAGCGTGGTTCTAAAGTAATTGAATCAGCCTGAGTGCACTTTGACAAAAGGAGCAGAGGATCTTCAAAAGAAAAGACCAAACAATTACGGTAACTCACACCACAATTGTAAGTGAATCACAGAGAATACTAGTGCAATAGAAATAAAGAAGATAGTTAGGCTTGTCAACTGAAATTCTAAAGTAACTGAATAAGCCTAAGTGGATATTTGACAAGAAGGAGAGAACTACATATATAGTATTTATGATATGCCCATAATATCTGTAGCATTGAAGAATTTATTGTACATATGTTAACTTGTACTGAATAATTTATCGCTAACAAGTCACAGACACCTACTGTACAAGAATCCCAAGCCCAACAACAACATAGTATATATTTATACTATTAAGAAATATCACTAAATACCTTATATTTTGACAATTAGTGAAGAATTATGTTCTAAATTCTAACAGTATTAATATATTTGCCTAATGATAAATACATCACACTATGGATCATGAGATGCTTGATTTACTTTGTTATAACTAAGATATTTTAAACTTCAGTTACCCCTTGTTTTTAATATTGAAATGAAATTTTAAGTACATCCATCCACACTTGTTGCATAAAAATTAGATACTTCATAGATAAACTTGCACTCACCTGTCACCAAAAAACTGGTGAGTATATTCCGGGTGAAAAGCTTTCTTGTCATCTTCCAAGTCATTTTCTACTTGAACTGAAAATGCAATTTATTTTGGAAAATTAATAATAAAAAGATAGCATCCAACTTGAGAGGAATACTGGAAAAAAAAAAAAGAAAAAAAAGTGTACACTCTAAACTAAAGAGAATGTAAATGTATTTGTAATTCCCTCACAATTATTTTTTAACAGTTTAAATACGAAACTGGCAAAGTATTTTGGAGTAGAGCAGTATTTTTCAAACTTTTTACACTCAACTCAACAGCAGAAAAACACTCATCCCCCCTTCCTTATCACAATAAATTCTGACTAGTCTTTATATAATTTCATAATATATGGCAATACATACTAGGTTTAACCACTTCAATTCAAGTAACAAATAAACTTAGACACCAAAGAAATATAACGAAGTTAAGACACATCTCATGATAACCAAAAACAGATGAAAGAAATCAAGAGAATTAAAATTTGCAAACTGTGCTTTGAAAACCACTGAATTGGGGGGAAAATTAAAATATCTGAAACTATGAGCCATAAGACAAAGTTCAAAAGGTTGGGGATTGCTTTAGGCCCTAGAAAAATTTTGAGTTTTCAGGTTCTCTGTTGTGCTATCTAAGCATAATTTGGGACCTTTTCTTATATTTCTGTTTGTATCAAAGAGTACCTTATAAACATATTCAAAACACAAAATAATACAATGATTCAGTTCAGACCACATAAATTACACAAGTTATAGGTTGGAATGATATTTTGATTTTAGATCAAATGTTACCACGCAAGATCTTCACCTAACTTTAAGTGGCAGTAACACATAAATCATCAATCTGACTGAAAAGGCAGGTATATTGAACACTATAAAACACATCTTGATTATTTAACAAAGCCTGCTTAGCACTGAACCAACAAGTTTATGCAACATCCCTATTAATTTACTAATATCTTTTAAACTTTAGCATACAAGTCTAGCTATTTTGAGCATGTCATGACTTTTTTCAATACTAGATTCAAAATTTAATTAAACAGCTTTGTTATCAATGTATGTCAATAAACTTGGCATGAAAATGCAGTTTATAACTTCTAAATTTCAAAAAGAAATATTTACAAAAATCTCATTCTCCATTTTACCATGTTTTCTAATATGGGAGGATAGTCTTGATTGTAAGCAGTAAAATCTATTAAAAATCAATCTGGTACAAAATGACTTAGCATATAATAATATTAACAAACATATAAAATATAAATTTTAGGTAACCATGAAAGTCTTACCAAGTTTTAATTCAATTGCAGAATTTGCAGAACAGACATAATCATCCAGGGAATCTTTGGATAGGGAAATTCCTAGAAAAGTAAAAAAAAAAAGACTTTATTAAAAATACTGAACACACACTGTAACAGTTAAACTGACAAATTAAAGCTTAATCTTAAAGCCTTTTCACATCTGTTGAATTAAAATTCAGCTGTATACTTTACTCCTGATTGGTGCTCTCTGGTTGTGACTATTTTGTTTTCAACCAAGGCAAAAAATAGGCTATCTGTTCTTTGTCCCCCACAGAGAACCAAACCCCAGATGTTAGCCTTTTGAGTCCTTAAACTTACCATTGATCCACCAGAGGAGCAATGGATGTAATAGGGTTAAACAATGAAAAGAGCCTAATCACAAATATAACATGGATTTATAAGTTAGACATTTAAAAAGGTGTTCACACTGGGGAAATGTCATAAACTAATTAAAATGCCAATTTTGTCATTTTATTTTACAGAATGTGGTTAAATACCAAATCAAAGTGAGAATTTTTTTTTCTTTCTTTTCCACTGGACAAATCTGTTGACACACAGATATAAAAAATGAGGTTGTTTATGTATGAGCAACTGTGACAGGAGAGGTAAAGTTTATTACCATAATTGCTAAACATGTTGATAAAGCTAATCATCAGTTATTAGAATATAGCAATCAGGTTTATTATGAGATTACTCTAAGTAACAAACATTGCTATATGTGAAATGTCCTTGGACAACAACCTTTTCCACATCACTCTCATTAAAATGAACTTTTAAAGGTTCTTCACTAAATTCATCAAATATAGAGTAGTTACAATTAAACTTGCATAAATATTAAATCAAATAAACTTTATTTGCTAAATTACAATCCTTTAGGTTTTCCATCCCTTACCGTCTTACCCCTCCCAAAAGGATGTGTTGAGTAAATTTAAGTGAGCTATTGAACGTCTTTATTACCTTGTTTTGGAAATTAAAAAATTGTACACACAAATTTTTGTATAGACTTTTAACATGTTTTGGTTTTACTGTGCATTTTGTCCTTAGTCTCTTATAAGTTATAAAATTACTTTATATCAAGGACAACAAGTTAACTAATAGTAAATACATTTGAGATATTAACAGCCAGTCTGTGAGTCAATGAGACTGAATTCAGGGGACTGGATGAGGTACACAGAGGTGTTGCAGTTTCCAGTATTCTATTAGAACACAAAAAAGTACTCTAAAAAACTCATCACTCAACAGAGATTGGCCACAAAAATGTGGAGTTTAGGGGTTGGCAGGACTGTGTTCCTCCTGAATAAAACAGAAGTGTTCTTGTTCAGGTATAATACTTAAGTTCCTTACACTAAGCCTACCTAAGCTATCACTTACAACAGAATTAATAAAAATCCATGAAGAAAACAGCTTTACAGAGCTGATGAACGAGGTCTCATATTATCCAATACAAGCAAAAGTGCCATCCCTGGTGATGGGAAGAGTTTAAGTAAATCTACCAATTTAAATTATTTCATGGACTTGGTTTCAATCGGAGCCAAATCTAAGAGCTACTTACACCACTAAAAATGAGATGAACACAGTTGATTCATTTTGCCACTTTTCTTTGTCATAAATTCAATATTGTTTTGATGAAAAAATTAAACAAAGAACACTTCTGTTTAACACGACCCTTTGAAAACAAGTAACAATCATGAAAAAAAAAAGGTGCAAACATTAATTAGATGTCATTAATAAAAAATACCTCCTTCCTTTTTCCAAAAACTCTGGATAGAAACGTTTTTTTAAACTTGGCCTAATTAAAAGATAGTAAAATTAAAGACAAAAATAATAGGAACTGTAGCAAAAGCAGTTCAAACCTCCATTAAAAGATTGAGGGATTCCACAGATTGAGGTACAATTAAACCTCAAACCAGATAATCCACCCACAGATAATAAAGAGGCAACTGTATTATCAATGTATGCCAATGAACTTAACAACAGAATGCAGTTTATATTCTAAATTATATTATACAAGATATAATTTTCTAATTTTAAATAAACTCTCAATCTTCACTGTTATGCATCATATACATAAACTGAAACTCTCATGTCATGTCTTACTAGCACATGCTGTTTTTGATTAAAGAAAAAGTGAACAATTCTCTCTGACATTTGCTATTTGATTATATACAACCAATACAAAGAGCTTTTAATTTACTGCTTTTCATATGAGGTTACCTTATTTTCATTACCAGTTTTGAATTATTATGCAACAAACTCATAGTTTGCCATTGCTAAGATTGTCTTGACTAGGTAAGGAAAATATTTTAACACAGAAAGTCAGTTCAATTATAACAGTTTTAAGAAATCTGTGTGTATAAGTTAATATTTGTGTTATAAATTGCATATTCAAAATAAATAAAAATTAAGTAGTAACAACAACCCTGCATAACAAATTAGGGTTGACTTTGTTCAACACTTCAGAAGCAAAAAATACAAGACTCACACATTAATACTAAAATTGTTTTCATTAATGCTTTTCAGATAAGCTGTTATTTAAACTGAATGTTGCACTATCATATAAAACCAACATGCCCAAATGACAGAATATAATACAAAAATATTAGTGATGCCTGACAAGATTAAGTTATTAAAAAAATTATGTAGAATTCCAAGTTTAATGAACTCAGATTATAATTTAATAGAACTAAGTTAGATTCTCACAACCCCCATTTGACAACTTGGAGAACCTAACATAACAATGTTTTGGGACAACATGGGACCTATTCGTTCACCTCAGCTGTTCCATTTCTTAAACTAAATTAAAAAAAAAAAGTAAAAATCTTAAAGCCAGTCCTTATCATTCATATAATTATTGTTATGTATCTGCTTGTTTGTTAATTTCCGGTATAAATTCTTTCTGAGGAAATTCAGCGATACAAGTCCCTTCTTCATTAAACCAGTTTATTCTTTCTCGACATAAACTTTTAGTACACAGTAATTCCACAGTCAGTACGTTTCTCGTCACTTTAAACTTAACAACTTTTCTAATACATGCTATAAATCACAGCGATTCACAATCTCAATAACTTTGCTCTCTACGAGTGCAAAACACACACTAGCTCGAAACAGAATTGTAAATTACCTGAAACTCACCGTAACTACTGTTCGCTTTACCATCCCCTGCCTTTTCTCTGCCAGGCTTATATACTAATAAAGAGGCATCTCCAAAATTTGTGCAGTTCCCCGATAATTCGAGACATGTGACATCTGCTGTCGTAACATTATCAAGCCTTTTCTTAAGCTCACTGAAATTTACTGTCTCTACAACATCTGAAAGCAACCCATTCCAAAGGCCAACTACCTTGTTAGAAGAATGGAACTATCTTAGCTGAAGATGACTCCTACCTTGCTAAAATCTATATTTGTGTCCCCTAGTCCTACTATTCTCACTGTTAAATTTGAAAAAAGATGATGCATCAACACTATCAATTCCCTTTACAATCTTAAACACCTCAATCAGATCCCCCCTAATTTTTCTTTTTGCAAGAGAAAACAACTTAAGAGATTTTAGCCTCTCCTCATATGACAACCCCAACATCCCAGACACCATTCTAGTAACTCTTCTCTGAACCCTTTCCAAAAATTCAATGTCTTTCCTAAGGTTAGAAGTCCAAGACTGAACACAATATTCCAAATGTGGCCTAACCAGTGACTGTACAATGAAATTATAACTTCTTTAGAATTGTATTCAATATTTCTGTAGATACAACCTAAAATCTTATTTGCCCTACCACTAGCAACAGCTTGGATGGCTTTAGAGACTGAATGACTATTACATCAAGATCCCTTTCCTTCATAACACTGTTAAGGTTATTCCCATCCAAATTATGATAACTCGCATGCATTAACTCATTTATTATAATTAAAACCCACCTGTTATTTATTTGTCCAACTCACCAAATGATCTAAATCCTTTTATAAATCAGCAGCATCCTCTTCACCCCTAGCAACACCCAAAACCTTAATATCATCTGCAAATTTAAGTAATTTATTGACTATTCCTTCATCTATGTTATTGATGTAAATCAAAAAGAGCAAAGGTCCCAAGAATGAGCTCTGAGGTACCCCACTTAATCCAGTTTGACTGAACTCCATTTGGAACAACCCTCTGCTTTCTTAGATCCAGCCACTCTTTTATCCAATTTGCTAACTTATCCCCCACACCTACAGAGCTGTTTTTTTTTTACAAGCCTTTTATGTGGCACCTTGTCAAAGGCTTTCTGAAAATCCAGAAAAAACAAATCTACACCCTTACTCTCATCTACATCAAGGAGTAACTTTTTCAAAGAATATTAAAAGAAGTGTAAGGCAAGATTTTCTCTTAGTCAAACCATGTTGACTATCCAATAAAATTCTAAGCTTTGTTAAACGACTTTGCAAAGCATCGTTTCACAGACTTTTCAAAACATTTCCCACAACTGATGTCAGACTAATGGGTCTATAATTACTGGAACAATTGTTATCACTTCCCTTGGAAAGAGGAGTTACATTAGATAACTTCCAATCCTCTGGTAACTACCCACTATTCAAGGACTTACAAAAAATAGTAGTAAGTGGCTCACATATCCAATCTTTAACCTCCTTCAAAACCCTTGAGGAAATATTATCTGGTCTAGGAGTTTTATCATGTTTTAAACTTCCCAATTTTTTCTTAACCACCTTAGAATTAATGCAGTCATTTTTTTTATCTCATCTCTATTAATCAACTGTTCAAGATGTGGAATACAGCTTAAATCTTCATTAGTAAAAACCAAAGAAAAAGCAAAATTTAATATCCCAGCCTACTTATAATCATCAGATACTAGCCTTCCTTTATCATCCCTCAAGGGTCCTACTTCCATCCTAACATTTTGTTTACCCTTAATGTATTTAAAGAAATCCTTACTGTTAATTTTTGCATTTTCAGCCAACCTTTTCTCATACATCCTTTTTGATGTCCTAATTTCCTGTTTCACTAACTTTCTTGATCTTCTAAATCTCTTGTCATACCAGTCAATTTAAATTTCTTAAATTTATGATGGTTTTCTTTAATTTTATCTCTCAAACTGTTTGTGAGCCAACCTGTTTTTTTTTTTACTTACAGCTACCCTTTTCTTTCTACAAGGAACATGTTTACCTTGAATATATAAAAATTTATCTTTAAACATTTCTCACATCTGATCGGTGTCTCCAAATAATTCAGCTGCCCAATTCACAACAGGTAATCCTTGTTGTATCCCTTCAAAATTTGCTTTTAAAATTTTTTTTAAACCAAAATATCATTATTCTTTATCTCCATATGCAGCAAAACATCAAACCCAATAGAGCAATGATCACTTGCACCCAGATGTTCCCCAATTTCCACCCTCTCAATCATTTCTGTATTTGAAGTTAACAAGTCTAAAATAGCATTGTTTCAAGTTGGTTCCTTGACTAACTGGTGAGGAAAGCCATCTTGAACAATTTCCAAAAACCTTTCTCCCTCATGGTTTGACTCTAGAATTTCCCAATATATATGCCTGAAATTAAAATCACCCATAATTATGACTCCATTAACCAGAGATGAAAGTGTCCCTTTCCTAAAAATCCTGAAAATAATCGAAGCCATGTAAGGGGGGTCCGGCACCCAAAATCCTGAATTTTGATGCATTTTAGTACTTAAAATTCACTTAAACAAGTTACCCCATTTTTCTTACATCAATGATTATCAAATACATGTGAGAAATATCAAATTTGATTCCCCTAGTTAATGGATAATTTTCAAGAGTGCATTCTTTGGAATTCATAATTTTCACTATTGGATGTCAAAACTTATATAA